TTTTTTTTTGTTTCTAATTTCAATAAACTATTTAATTCTGCTTCATTTATATCCTTGATTAAGAAAATATGATGACACAATGAACTCTTGCATTACAATACTGAATAAAATTTTGAATGAGGGTGTGGGTTTAGATGCTGGTGAGCATGTGGATAATCAATTCAATATCCACATCCTAAATACTCAATATCTCATTTTGTATTTAGTTCAATGCTTTTTGTTGTTCTTATCAGTCTGCTTATGACAACATCGATAATCTATATTAAACTCAAATCAGTTGTATTGCATTCTTCATTTTTATCTTTTATATGTAATGTAGATTTTCCGAAAAGTATCGTTGAATATTTATCTTAAGACAAAACCGATCGAAAATCTATATTGACATGAATATGGGTGATAAGTAAGTGTTTGAATTATAAATATTTTCTTTGCTCTATAAAACAATAATACAGTTGAGAACGAAACTAAAAAGTCTTTATTTCCTTATTTTTAATTTAAAAAAACCACTGTCAATAACTTCAAAAATAATTTTCTTAATCTTCATCATCATCATCATCGTCTTCACTTTCAGCATTTTGTAACCATTCAATAAATTGTTTAAGTTTATCATAATAAATTTTTTCTTCCGGTTTTATTACTAATTCATTTTTTTGAATTTTTTCTTGTTTATTTTTATACCATTTAAGAATCCATTCTTCTACAAGAACATCTTTTTCATATAAATAATTTAATATATTAACAATACGTTCACCAATCGGTTGAATAAATTTTAAACAAATTAAATCTAATTCATTTAATAATGTCATTTGTGCTTCTTCATTCGTTGTTTTCATATAATTTTTTAATATATCTTGTGTTATTTGATCCATCGTTAATTTTAATGTATTCCAATAATTTGGTTTTTCAATATTCGTTATTTTCTTTTCAAATGGTAACAAAAATACTGCACGTGTTATTGATTGATCAAATTCCGTTGGTGAAACATCATACGTTGGTTTTAACATATTTAATTCAACAATAATATTTTCTTTTTTAAGTTTTTGTAAATAAGCACGTTCTAATGTACGAATAACTTCTTCTTGAAATTCACTAACATCACCTTCATCATCGGTTCTATGCGATTCTGTTGCAGTACTACTACCACTAGTACCTGATGTTTCATCATCATCATCATCATCATCATCGTCTGATATAATTGATGGTTGTTTTACAAAAGGTTTTGAAGGACGTTCATTATTATCTTCATTATCATCAATAGATAAATCTTTATTTTCTATTCGATAACCCCATGCATCAAATGGATTTAATAGTTTTTCATCATTATCATCATCTTCATCATCATCATCATCATCGTCATCACTTGTTGCTTGAAAACTTTTTGTTTGATGTTCATGTAGAAAACTAAAAATAAGTTCTTTACCTAAACCATCACTACCAACTAAATCAATATTTGATGTGATTGTTTCTTCAATACTTGATGGAAGAGATTTATCTGATAATCTTGTTGAACTACGACTTTGTTTTGAATTTGAACGTTTAAAATCAACGGGTGGTAATTGTATATCTTCATCAATTTCAACATCATCCATTGGTTTTGTTGATGTTATTGAATTCGATGCAATTATTGTTATACGTTCTTTTAATTGAGCATTTGTACCAATAATAACACCTTTACAAAGAATACATTCTTTATTTATTTGTACATTATTACGTATAAGTACATTATCACATATAATTGAATTTTTAATATGACAATTTTCACCTATTTGTACATGATTCCATATAATTGAATTTTCAATTCGACTATTTTTACCAATAATACAATTTTGTCCAATAAGTGATGAAGAAATACATACACCAGATAAGATTTGACTTTTATTACCAATAAAAACATCTTTTTGTATATTTGATAAACGATCTAATTGTATATCACCTTGTTTATATATATTATGTTTATCATAAACAATTGGATAAGACATATTATGAAATGATGTATAGGAATCATTTGATTTTATTTGAGGTGATGTTGGTGTTGTTACAGTTGATGATACGAGTGGTTTATGCATTGAAGCAATTATTTCGGGTACTAATGGATAGGACCATCGACGAAGTATATCAAATGTTGCTTTCATATATAAACGTAAATTATGAACAGATAGAAAATAACCGGTTTCATATAGATAAGAATATATTGTATGGCCAGCAATTTCTTCATCACGTAAAACACCTTTAACAAATTCATTAATTGTTAAAAAATCAAAATTATCTTTAAATAAATGTAAAACATCTGTTGAACAAACTGCTAAATGACAATCCAATGGACAATATAATGTTTCAATAGTTACATTGGGTTTTTCTAATAGATCAAGTGGTATTTCATATGTATCAAGATATTCTTTTGAATAATCATATAAACGATGTGTATTGGAATCACGTATAATATATAAATGTTGATCATCTGTAAATGATGGATGTTCAAATTGATTGGATTCTAATTGACGATAGACAAGTGTCATGATACAATTTTTATCTTTTTTTATATTTTCTTTATGAATATTAAATAGATTATTTAATTTTTCATTTGTTATTAATGTACCATTACCATAGATTAAGAGAAAATGATTATTTATTATATTTTCTTGTTCAAGATCTTTTAAACAATCACCAAGTGAACGAGCATCTTTACATGGTATTAAACGAATTAATTTTGGATAGGTTTTTAACCAATGACTATTCATTAAATATGTACGAATTTCATAGGAATTTGATGTTGCTAGTAGAATTATTTCTTGTATACCGGATCTCATTAATGTATGAATAGTATAATCAAGTAATGATTGACCATCAACAGGCCATAAACATAATGGAAGTGTAGTATGTGATACAATTTCATTGATATAACTATTAAATGAATCAAGAACAAGAACACATGTTAAGCGTTCTTCTTCACGATAATCAGAATTAATATTTGTTTGTTTACCCATATCTAGAAAAAAAAAAATATGTATGTGTGAAATGAATTAAAAATAGAATATTCATTTGTTGAATTATATGATGAAATAGCAGAGAACAATATGATGCAACATTTTTATGCAATATTCATGAGAAAATTGATTACTCATATGTTAATACATCTCTTGTATTTAAAATATATGGATATTTTTATGTTTAATCCATCTATAAATATAATTGATATTCTATAATCCATATTTTACCAAGTTTCATGAGAATATTTCAATTTATTATCTAAAATGATGCAATATTTATAATAATAAATAAAATCAAATATATAATACTAAATATCATAAAAACAAAAAGAAGAACTTATGACGAACGACTGATTTTCTTATATGTTTTACTAGATATAATAGAGCAACTAGGAGATATCTGAAGGATCTGATGAATTTTATTAAACAATAACATCATCTTCTACTTCTTTTCTGAATTGACTGTATTCATAATGCTACAAGCTCGACATTTTTCTGTATTACCAATCTTTTTTAATTCTCCATCACTATCTCTACCTAAATCATCGAATTTTTCATGAACGACTAAGAATTAAATCTGTCAATTGTTCCTGTAATTATAACCATATTATCTTGTTATTAAAATTCAACTACACTATAAACTGGCTTTTTCTAATAATCCAAGTGTTATACTCCATAGTTCATCACTTGATGTTTCCATTAATCTATACTACCAAAAACATGAATTTAATCACCAATTAATATTGCTTTAACTCATGTATAAATTTAATTGAAATAAATAGAGTAGCTGTATAAAATCTTAGTTAATACATTATAGTTCACTTCACTTAGATTAGTAGAAAAAATGGAAAAAAGGAACAGGCATATCCCTCATGATGATATTTATTCATAATACTGATTCGATAGTTGATTGGTTATTTTGACTGACAAATAAGATACAGAAAGAAAAAATAATATGAATGAAGAAAGGAAGAATATGTTTGGATCATTCTTGTAGATGAATTATATAAAATGTATTCGTTAATTCGAAATAATGTAACTCAAAAACTCCATCGAGATTTTATATCAATCTTTGGTTCTCTATCTCGGTATTAAATTAATATATCTAAAATAGTTCTTATGTTTTTTTGTTTATAATTATTCTAGTTCAATTATAACTAATGCACCTCCATTGACTGAAACACGAAAGAATGATGGTGATGATCCGAAAATATCTAATTCACAATCATCATCATCATCAAATATAAATAAAACAATTGATAATAAAGTCCCATGGAAAGCAAATGTAGTTGAAATGCCAATTGCTATGAATCCACAATATATAATTGATAATTGTCGTGAACATCGTGAAGGTGGTTTCTATTATGATCATCGAATTATAGTACCAGAAATGCCAGAAAAATATACAGTTAAACCATTTGAAACACGAAAAACAGGTGGAAATCATCCTGATACTGGTAATAAGGCTAAAGATATTCATTTAATTTTTAAAATAAAATAACATATGAACTATTTTTAGGTCGTAAGGAATATCGTCGTGTCGGTGGTGGCTTAAAAAAGACTTGGTTATGGATTGATACTATGAGACAAGGACCAAAGAGTGGCCCTCCATTAGTTGAACGTGTAATTCGTATTATGAATAGTGATTGTCATACAGCTAAAGTTGCTTTGATTGGACACGGAAATACACTTCGATATATATTAGCAACTGAAAATCTTAAAGTTGGTGATCTTGTTAAAACATCTGGTGAAATACCAAAAAATCCTGGTTAGTTCAATTATTTATTTTAAAACCTGTTATTATACTCTTTTTTTTATAATTCATTAATTAGTAAAAGCAAGTGAAGGTGATGCATATCCAGTCGGTGCATTACCAACTGGTACAATAGTTAATTGTGTTGAAAATTATCCAGGACAAGGTGCTAAATATGCAATGAATGCTGGTACATTTGCAACAATAATGAAACGTGTTGATAATCGATGTATTTTACAGTTACCAACAAAACATGAAATATCTATACTTGAACAATGCATGGTTACTGTTGGTCGTTTATCGAATGTTGAACATAATGAATTTATTTATGGTAAAGCTGGTGCTAAACGTTTAATGGGTATAAGACCAAAACTTGGTCTATTTCATCCAAAAACAGGTCGATTTGGACGACGACCATTTCGACCAAAACCTATACTTGTTATAACTGGTGAAAAACCAGATTATCCAAATGTGATTAAATTACAACATCCTTCACTTGATTCTTATAGATAATTGTTTTGTTTTTCAATAAACTTTTTCAACAATATATTTTTCTTGTTTTCAAATCTGCGACACAATTTCTTCCACTTTCTGATCATTTACTTTCCATAATCATGCATAACCGAAGCAGTTAGCTTTTTTCTACACTTTTAGTGTATCAGATAAATCTTTAGTAGAAGCACAGTCTCTTGTAAGACTATTAGATGGTCTGTCATTTTACAGGTAACATGTATCTGTGTAGTTTTTATCAAATTCAATGGGTTATCGGTGATATTTTTCTAGTTATGACAAACAGCTTTTTATAAATTTGTCAATTAGTATACAACTAAAGATCTTTGTAGGCATTGTACAGTTTCTACGAAATCTGTCCAACAATCAGCAGTTTTTGTGATTACTGTCAAGATTTATAGACCCTACGATTTTCGATGAATGTGAAGTTGAAAATATTACTTTTCAACGCTAAATATCATACAAGGTGTTTTATTACGGACTATTCACCGTGAATGTTATAGCTTCTAATTACAATAATATCGTTGAATTAATTTTCTTTGATAAAAAATTGTTCATATATTTCAATCCATTAGTAAACTATCTCGTACTTCACAATTCACATGATCAGACGTTTTCCTTGTTCATATAAATCAGAAATACTACAAGATTTATCTTTCGTGTAATTTATTTTATAGTTAAAAAACTTTTAACATTGTTTGTTTTAGTCTTTCTTTCAGATATGGATGAATCAATGAATTCTGTACATAGCATATCTGCTATGGATATATCACCAGCAACAAGTCCAAAAATGACACTCAATCCAATACCATCAAATCATTTACTTCTAAATGCATTTCAACAACAACAAGAATCACTTTCAAATATGTTATTCAGTGTAGAAAGGCAAATAATAAATAAAAATCCAATTCCAGATGATTATGATAATAATTCAAATAGTCTTTGTTTATACACAACGGTATTAACAGACAACAACATTCAAACTAATCCCGAAGAATCAAATCAACCTCGACAACGAATAAAAGTAGAACCTGTTTCAACAGTTGTCGATTCAAATCCTGTCATAAATAAAACTGAATTAAAATCATCTCGAAAATCAATTAGTAAACTTATTTTTCTCATTCCATTATTATTTTTAATACTTTATATCATTGTACAACATAAGAATACATCTTCAATTTTACCACGTACATCAAATTGGCAAAATGCAAGTGAATATTTAAGTAAAAATCTTATCGGACAAGATCAAGGTCTCGAACAATTTAAAGATGCTATGGTCAAACATAAGAATTTTTCTATTGTCATCATTGAGGTAATCATTTATTTTTTTCAAAATAAATGAATTTTGTTTTCTTTGACAAGGGTTCAATTGGTACTGGAAAAACTTATTTAGCTTCATCATTAGAAAAATTCCTATCGACAACTTTAATATCTACAAATGATCTTCTTGGATTATCAAAACATCATTGGACTGAACCTGATCATCTTTCTTTATATTTATCTTCATGTTTATCTCCATCATTATTTCAATTTTTAATTATCGATGATCTTGATTTATTAACAACGAATGAACAATATTGTCAAATATTAACTTCAGCATTACATTCAATTAATAAAAATAAAAATCTTTTCATTCTTCTTCTACAAACAGGTAAAATGGCAAGTAAATGTAAAGAAAGCTTTGATAATATCACTACAAAATCAATTCAATTTAATAAATTACAACGTCAACATATTCGAAAATGTATTGAAAATGAAGCAGATACACAAAATGTTCAACCACCACTGAATGATCAGCAAATTGAAAATATCCTCAATTCAATTGAATATATTAATGAACAAGGAATATTATATGGTACAACAGGTTGTAAACAAATACCATCACTAGTCATGCTTGCATCGAAAAAAAGTTCATATTAATAAAACTAGTCAGATATCTTTTTTTTTCTTTTAAAATGTTACAATAAACTAAATGATATATAAGATTATTTTGTCATTTAATAAAATATCACAATTGTAATGCATTGATCCGATCTGTTGCAAACATGAAACTTATATTTCGAGTTCAGATATTTAGATCGTTTAATATGATAAAAAGTCTTATCTCTATTTCTTTAATTGATTATTTTTATTCTTTACATTTGTAACAAAATTATGTGTTTCAGTTGCTGAATTTATCTTATGTAAATGTTCGACTATTTCTGTTGCAGTAGCCAATGAATGACGTTGAATATTCAATTGTTTTTCTCTCTCCTGTACAGTTGCTGTTTCTTGATCACGTTGTCGTTGATGTTCTTTTATACTTATTTGTACTTTATTTCTATCAACCATGGTAGCATTTGGTGGATCAATACGTTCGTGAGGTAAAGATAATGATGCTCGTCGTTTAAATGATTCTTCGTTTGTCATCGAATAAAATAAATAAAATTAAAATAAAGCAAATAGATACACGTAAAATAAATTCTCCCGCTAAAGATATTTTTCTTCGCAATAAATTCGGATGAACATTAATTGGAGATCTTTGATAATTATATTAAACATCAGAAAATGTATACTGAATTTATACGAGAGAATTAACAGTACATTATCACATATGTAATTTATAACGTGCTGATTGATAAGAAATTATCGATAATTACTCGAGTACGAACAAAAAAGTGTGAGATCAATTAATTAATTTTGTATTTTTGATTACTATGACAATTGTCTTCGAGATACCTATTCACTGATGGTAAATGCGAAAAATCATCGATTGTTAAATAATTATACAAACACTCTCAAATATAAACAATCTGAAGAATATTAAAGCTTTTTTTTTTGTTAAGCTTTATTATATTTACCGATGCTCTTAGACATACTTTTTGCTACGATATAAAATATCCTGTCGTAATCTAAAGAAAGCAAACTATTATTAACAATGTGTACAAAGTGTTCAATCATCGAACTGTATCACTTTGGAATATAATATTGACTATAGATCCATCATTATTGTTTCAATGCATAATTTCATTTTTAGTTTTATGATAAAATACTTTAGATCTACAAAATTATCTCTATCCATATTAAATAAGCAAGTTTTCACCTTAAAACCATTTGCGTAAATATTAATATTAAACAAAGAATGATTTAAAACGTATTTAACCGTTATCAAGCATAGTTTTGAGCTAAATTTTAATATAGTCTCTGAAAACAGTATATCTTAACTTCTATTTTCACAACATATTATACCTCACGGAATTCTGATCGGCAACAAATCAACACTCATAATAAACTATTTATTCTTCTATCATAATGGAAAATCATATTCTTTTTAATTTGAAAGATTTCCTTCGAGTATTGTTTTCTTTTTTATTTATGTGTGCATTTGTTTTTATTTGTGTGAAAGAGCGAGATGTTACATTATCTCTTTCATCAAGTCAATGATCGATAGATATAACATGAATACACAAACAAAAAGTTGTTTCAAAACGCACAAAAATATATAAAAAAAAAGTATATATCATTCTTCCAGGGTATTTTCTTTCCGTTGTTTTCTCGTCGTGTGAACATAACATAAACTTAACAAAAAATATTGAAAAAGAGGATAACAACGAACTAGTAACAATATAAATCGAAGATGACAAAAAAAAACAACTAGCTGGTATCTTTTTTTTCTATTGATGTGGCATCGATTTTGTTTAGAAACATATGCACACAATTAAAAGAGGAAAAAGACTGAGAAAGTGCTAAAAATGATGTTAACAAGGAGTTTTTGTTCTTCTTTTTTAAAATGACAGATGGAAAGAAAGTTCAGATGATAATGTAGTTGTTTATTTTTTGCCTTTGGCAGCTGGTACAGCTTTGGCACCTTTGGCTGCAGCTGGAGCTTTCTTTTCAACATCTTTGATAACACCGACAGCAACTGTTTGACGCATATCACGTACAGCGAATCGACCGAGTGGTGGATATTCAGCGAATTTTTCAACACACATTGGTTTTGATGGAATCATTTTTACCATAGCAGCTTCACCTGATTTAAGGAATTTTGGTGCATCTTCAATGGTTTTACCTGATCGACGATCGACTTTTTCGAGTAATTCAGCGAATTTGCAAGCAATATGAGCTGTGTGACAATCGAGAACTGGAGCATAACCTGCACCAATTTGACCGGGGTGATTGAGAACGATAACCTAATGAACAAAAATAAATAAGAAATAAATAAGAAAAACAACTAAATCTTACTTGAGCGACAAAGTTAGCTGATTCTTGAGCTGGATCATTCTTGATATCTGATGCAACGAAACCACGTTTAATATCTTTTACACTGATGTTTTTGACATTGAAACCAACATTGTCACCTGGTAAAGCTTCTGCAAAATATCAAACACATCACTTATAGCATACATTCATCAATAAACTATAAATATTTACCTTCAAGTGCTTCATGATGCATTTCAATGGATTTAACTTCAGTTTGGATGGTTGATGGAGCAAAGTTAACAACCATGTTTGGTTTGAGAATACCAGTTTCAACTCGACCGACTGGCACTGTACCGATACCACCAATTTTGTAGACATCTTGTAAGGGTAATCGGAGTGGTTTGTCGGTTGG